TTAATGATATTTTCCATAGACAATTCTTACTTGTTGTCTTGTTGACGAATTATTAGATTCGTTATTTTACTAACGTTGATTTTATGCTTACATATATGAAAGAAAGTTTCCTTATATTTGAGTGATAACGGTAATCCGGTTTTTTCTTTATAAGTCATACAATTTATTTCATAGAATTAATAAATTTCATTAGATATATTTTATAAATCGTATGGGTATAACTATATGAATAGATTTCAGAATATTTCAACTATATGAATTCTTCAATTTTGGGTGTCACGGCCCAATTCTATAAACTCTCCAAACCCTAAAAAACCCGTTACCCGCAGCCTAAGTTAACCAAAACCCTAACCTAGAGTTTTCCTATATCTTTATATAAGGTCACGCAAGTGAGGAGGAAGATCAGAGTTGCATAGCTAGCAAAACCCAATTGTTCTCGCTCTAGCCATCTTTGCCTTCTCAGTTAAGCCAGTTCCGAGTTGCTGTTTTGCGGGGCTGATTTCCGGCGACTCAGAAGGAATTAGATCGTCATTCTTATATCTCTGGAAAGATCACGGATTCTAGTTTCTTAAGCTTTTTTCGGATTCGAATTACAAAGTATGGTCTGCTCGCAAAGCGTATTTGAATATCAGGAAAAATCACAGTTTTCTGAATCTGAAATTCTTAATCTCAGATCCGACCAGAGCACTTGCGGGGTGATTTTTGCGGCGAACCGTGAGGAGTTAGGCGACGACCTAAATACAATTAGATAGAGGATTCTTCGTAGATTCCGTGCCTGTTTTCCGATTTGGATTCCGAGGTAAGATGAACCCGCAATCTACGATTTAAATTTGCCCTAGATGCCTGACCAGATTCTGTTCTCGGGTTTCACAGAGTTAAATTTGGAGGAAGGTCTACGCTGTTACAGAAGAAGTTAGAACACGATTTTGGTACCGTTGGAAAGGTGACGTTACAAAGATTTCAGATCAAGTTCCGGTTTTCCAATCCGATCTAAATCCGGTGAGTTATTGATGTTTCTTTCTGGTCAAGAAACATTTATTCGGTCAAAATCCAAAAACGTATTTTTGACTTGAATCGCTTTTCCAGAACGCAGATTCANATCNTTCTAGGTTCACTCCTCCATATTTGGTCATCCAAAGGCTAAGGTGAGGGTGTTGTCTAGATTACTTTAATACTAGTTAACACTAGATGTTCTTATATGTTAGTCTAGGGATGGAATGTGATGTTGTTGGTTATATGTGCTAAGTTTAGGAATGTTTGATGTGTGTAAATTGTTTGGTAGTTAAATGAAGTTAAAGATTAAAAAGTATTGTTTGAGATTGTTATAGTATAGGATAGTTTCGGGAACTATCGCGTACGTAAGCGTGTTACAGAACTTTGCGTGTTGGACTACGAATGATCGCGTATGTAAGCCCGTTGTAATCCATTAGGCCTTAGAGGGCCATGATGGGGAGGACAGATCCAAAACGTGAGAAAGGGGTTGGCTCCGCTGTGAATTT